CAGACAGTGATGTGTTCATTACCTGCTGCACTGTGTGAAAGAAAACAGGAACTTCTCAAAGTGACATACAGGAAGTTGAAACACGGTCAAACTCCAAATGACCATCTTTTCAACTTTCTTTGAAAGTGCCACTGTGTAGCAGCAGTATTTGATGATAAGAACCAAGTCCTGCTTAAACCAAAGAATTAAGAAAAGAGTGGCCACTTAAAAACAAATCCCATGAATCTACAAAACAAAACACAATATGAAAATTAAAACCATAAAATCGACTTCAAGCTTATTTAGGGGTCTTCAACCTTTGTGATTTAAGACACAGGACAGGACATATTGCATAAAAGTGTGGCCTGCAATAAAATGAGTATAGTACCATATTACTGCATTTACAGGTTTTAAAATACTAGCTAAGCTATTAAAATAATAATGTTTGATTATTACTTGTGCATAATAATAATAAAAAGAAACATTTAGCTGAATTCTAGCTTAGGTTGAAGCTAACTTGTTTTTAATAATGCATTTAAATAAAAATGAGTATAGAACTATATTAATGCATTTACATATTTTACAATTCTCACAAAGCCACTAAAATAATAATTTCTGATTATTTCTTGTGTTAACTTTTAATGCTTTTTTCTCACAAGAATTAGCTTGAGATCGAACAACAACTGCTGACAACCACACAGTAAACACCCAAGGTAAACTGAATACAATTATTTTTATTCAAAATGTATTACTAATAAATTAATGACTTATGAAACAAACAAAAAAAGGATCGGAGTTAATAAAATAATTTGGCCAGAAAGTCAATATGCATGCTTTTGTTTACTAGTACATTTACACACTTTATGATGCTTGCAAAGCCAAAACAACCATTTAGATTATCATTTGTGCAATTTATTTATTTATGCAGGAGGGACAATAAAACTTTTCACGAACTTCAGTTTAGGTTGAAGTTAACTTAAATTTGAATGTTTTCTCCCCACAAAATTTCATTTAAGATCAAACAATAATTGCTGCCCTGGTATATTATTGTATCTACAAAAATATCACCTTGATGAAAATGCACAAATTTTTTGACCTCTGTGAAGACCAAAAGATTGATCAAATTATCGATAAAAAAAAAAAGTTGATAAAACTTTTAAAGAATTTTGTCAAAAAGTCAATTAGGAATCTTTTTCTGACTCGGGCTTCCTCTGTGAACTTAATTCATGCAAATCTGCTTTACAACCTTGTGTTGTTTGTTTAAAGGAATGCCGGTATCAACAATGATATTCACCACTGCAGTGCCAAAACATACGTTTTAATGTTTCACACATCTTGGCAGAAACAAGATTCAGTAAACACTGAGATCAGACATCACCTATAAAAGCCACCTAATGCATTCTGAGCTGGAATGGAGCTGGAATGCTCGATCAAAGTGGACTTCAAAAGCCCTGCCACTCATGTTAAAATATTTCCTCTCACAGGAAGAGCCTTTGCATGTTCACAAGGTCCCCTGCAGTCATTCCAAACACTCACAGTCTCCATGGTTTCAGTCCTTAACAGCTATCAATCAAAGTGCACTGGAGAAGGAAGAGGTTGCTCTGGGACATGGGGCCTAGAGTTTATACAGGGAGAACATGCATTATGCATTACAGCAATAGGGAGAACACCTGAGGAGAAGCAGTAGGACATGATGTGAATAAGGCATGATAGTAAGATCCTGATGCACTGCAGTCTGGCTACAGAGGAAAGAACCTCAACAGGAACGACAAAACTGTTCCACTGCAGGAGACTAAAAGCATATAATGGGTACATCTATAGTATATTCATACAAGATGCCTAGACGTTCATATTTCAGAACTGTGCTCAAGATTCTCAAGGTGTTGAGATCATAACGATAAAGTAGTAACACTATAAACATGAAAACAACTTGAAGGACCATTAAAGGGGTTTTTAAAGTGGAAAAAATTCTTGAGATTATTAAAAATGGCTCTTTTAAGAACTGTTCACTGAAAGGTGAACCCAAAATGGTTCTTCTGTTACACTGCTATGAAAATCCACTTTTGGAAACTTTATTTTTAAGAGTAGATCCACTGCAGGAGACTAAAAGCATATAATGGGTACATCTATAGTATATTCAAACAAGATGCCTAGACGTTCATATTTCAGAACTGTGCTCAAGATTCTCAAGGTGTTGAGATCATAACGATAAAGTAGTAACACTATAAACATGAAAACAACTTGAAGGACCATTAAAGGGGTTTTTAAAGTGGAAAAAGTTCTTGAGATTATTAAAAATGGCTCTTTTAAGAACTGTTCACTGAAAGGTGAACCCAAAATGGTTCTTCTGTTACACTGCTATGAAAATCCACTTTTGGAAACTTTATTTTTAAGAGTCTCAAAATGAATACAAATAATGCAACTCAAAATTTGACGCAAACCTGCAATAATTAAATGTTAAACAACACAAATATCCTTTATGTATTTAATCCCATTCTATTAACCAATGTCTTTGCTTCTGACCTTCGATGATCCAGTTCAAGCGTACTAATAAGCACAAATTACTCTAGACGAACACTTGTCTTTATTTATTGCTGAAGTGTGTTGAAATGTCTTCTTCTGCACTCTACTGTACGGACGTAAATTTACTTTCCCTTCAGCCTGAGGCTTATTCATTTCACTTTTGGTGTGAAAAGGCTTTTATATTTGCCAAAAATAGAACTTTTTTACTTTAAAAACAAACAAGCAAGCCCTGTCCAGATTTTAAAAGTAACGCAAAAGTAACGTAACGCATTACTTTCCATACAAAGTAACGTAATTAGTTACTTTTTATGGAGTAATGCAATATTGTAATACATTACTTTTAAAAGTAACTTTCCCCAACACTGTTTACAACTACCTATTATAAGAGAAAGGGTTTGTGGCACTTAAAATATATTGAATATTGTAAACAGCATTTGAAGCACCTTTTAATGTGCTCGTGTAATTCAATCAGGAACACGGCACTAAAAACACTAAGGTCATGGGTTCAGTTCCAAGGCTGATTTGGATAAAAGCATTCATCCAATGCATTAATAAAAATGTAAATGAATGCTATATTTTCAGTTTTACAGCAAATATAACTTGTAAAACAGAGGGAAGGCCAGCAGCATGTTGGGCGGCAAGAAAAAGTTCAAAGCACCTACCAAACCAAGTCCAACCAAATGAAGTGGCTGTGTGGATACAAATGTTGCAAAACCTTTACCTATAGACTAAAAACTAAATACAAAACTGGCCTAAAACTACCTACCTATTATCCAGTGCCTCCAAAAACTTCAATCTTTACAGATTTCTCCACTGCTGTGGATCTCAAGTTCAAGCACCTGGAGTAATAAGAGCACTTCCATCAGATGGACAAAGCAAGCGAGGCATGAGTAGGAGTAAGTCCAGAAAGTAAGAAGGAACTGTCAGCAATGTCAAAGCCCACACATTTTACCCTTTCATTACCAGTGCTCTGTCTCAGGTATGTCTCATGGCAACCAGGATGCGAGAGAGGACTGTGTGTCCAGAGTCCAGACATTCCTCCGTTCACACTGATGCTGGAGAAAAGCATGTAAGAGACAAGAGCACAACACTCCCAACATGCATTCAAAAGGCTAAGAAAAGCATTTTTACAGTTACAGGTACAGCACTGTTTCCAAATCCCTAGCAGCAGCTTCACACACTTTGGACAATTTGTGATTGGTAAAGTGAAGCTTGGATCTTGTTCAACTTTAAATTCGATCACAGACAACACATTGGCTAAGAATACTCAGTCCAGACATGATAGATTTAATCCTAAAATGAATTGTCTCGATTATTTTTGCTTAAAAAGACATCATATTAAATAGAACTGATGATTTACTATTCAAGCAGAATTGCAAAACATCACAGGCACTCCAGATGCAAAACTTACTGTGGAAAAGGCAATCCCAAAAATGCAATGTCACAAGCATAGGCAGAGCTTGTGTAAGCCTTCCCTGGCCACTGGGACTTGGGACAAAAATGTCCCCTGCACAAACCAATTAAATCTATTACGTCTGTTGCTAACAAAGTGAATATGAATAGACAGTGTCAATTGCGGCATTAAATTAAGATCTGCTCATGTTGCACCTTCATTTTAGGCATTTTTACAGTGTTGCACATTTTAACCAATCACACACAATTCTGTTGAGCGTAGGAATGCAATGGCCAATCAGAGGCGTTCAGATGAGTCATCGTTCAAACTCATCAGTTATGTTGAGTGCGCGCGCGTTCGCTGCCTGTATTCCGGACTCTTGCGAATTCTCTCATCAGTTTTTTTTTTTTTTTGAGAGTGCTTAAACTCGCAGTAGATCAATGTCAGTGATAATTTCACTTTCTATATATAATTTATTCGCTGTTTGAATAACCGTGGAAAGGAAACGTTACATAATTATCAATTTCTAACGTTTTTATACAAATTCAGTCCCATTAAACCTTTTTTTTTTTTTTTACCTACATGACACCCATGTCTGGTTCTTCCCTAAAAAGACGTGTTTATGATGTTTAATACATTTGGCTGCTTTTAGCCTTAGCCTGGAGTTAGTTCACCCTCCGCCTGTGGTGACAAGTACAGTGACAACTTGTCCAAAACTAGCAGCCGAATGGTTGCTTGGTGTTTTAACATCATGCCAGCTTCCTTGGCTTTTTTCATGGGCGAGTAACAAGTTAAAATACTATAAAACAGCAATTTAAAAACCTACATGAGACTTTTAAAGTTTACTTTAGTTTGGTTAGAACTCTAAAATAGATTCAAGTTTCAATTCAGTAAAAGACAAAACTTAATTTTTGTGCCTTTTTTTGCCCAAGCATGACCGCATTGTCAATTATGCCCCATGTGCAACCAAAGTTTAATACTTGAGGTTAGGGCTTTTACCCCAAAGTATGAGCTATAATAATAGTGATGCTTACCTTAGCATATCTTCAGGCTGAAATGGGGCCGGAAAATAAAAAAAGAAAGTAAAACCCCCAAAAAACTTGAGTTTGACATGTGCGGTGTTTATTTGAACAATTCTGTTACCAAATATCTATTAAATATACATCTCTCATTCAAGTTCAAAGCATCAGAGGAGACTGCTAAACCCCAGCATTTACAAGCAAGTCTGGACGCCCCGTGTCCCATCCCGTTAAGGCCCCCGGGCATTTGGCTTTCTGTTGGACTGACCGGACAGAACGAAAACACGTCGGAAGCGAGACAGCAATAGCGTGACTCTAAAGCTCAGGATATGAGAAACTCTGGGCGGTCACTCCAGCTCATGAAGATTAGATTTAGATGGGGTTAGAAACCATAATAGAAGCCATCCTGCCTTAAGTGTTCATAAATTACAGTCCAAAGGATTTTTTTGTGCTTTTTTTTTTTTTTACATTGTTTATATAAAGGTTATTTTAAAAAAACACTTCTATGACTCCTACGCGACAGTTTTGAAGGTCTGCAGTATCAAGTTGGTTTGGTGGATGAGCCGGTTGGCACTGGTAAACACGTTTATTGCCCTGGAACAAAGATGGAGAGGGAAGGAATATAAATTACATCTGAACACATATTAATGATGTAGACGAAATCACAAACGCTATGCAGTGAAATTCCAGGGTTCTTCAGGCAAAGACCTGGTTTAGGTTAACACTTCATTCAAAATGAGCTGAAAAATACCAAAAAGTGCTGTGTCTGGGTGAAATGCCCATTTTCCAAACGATAGAAGGACAAAAAGTACACATATTACGAGTTCATAAACCACTGTCATCATTTACTCCTCTGCTCTAAAAAGATTATAACTTTTAAAGTCATGCAATGATAATAATATACACTATTGTTTTCAAAAGTTTGTCAAGATTTTTTTTTGTGCAAAGATGCATTAAATTGATTAAAAATGTCAGTAATGACATTTATGTTACAGAAGTTCTATTTCATAAATGCTGTTCTTTCGAACTTTCTATTCATCAAAACATCAAAAAACTATGGAAGTTATTTTTTTTTTCCTTCTTGTTTTCTCGTTATAACGACTTATTTTCTCGTTATATCGACATAACGAGAGTTGTTTTCTCGTTATAACGAGAAAACAACTCTCGTTATGTCGATATAACGAGAAAATTAAGTCGTTATAACGAGAAAACAACTCTCGTTATGTCGATATAACGAGAAAATAAGTCGTTATAACGAGAAAACGAGGAGGAAAAAAAAAATAATGCATGGCCGCTTAGAACTTCCGTACAAAACAGATCAGTTTCCACAAAAATATGAAGCAGCACAACTGTTTTTAATATTGATAATAATAAATGTTTCCTGTGCAGCAAATCAGCACATTAGAATGATTTCTGAAGGATCATGTGACACTGAAGACTGGAGGAATGAAGCTGAAAATTCAGCTTTACATCACAGGAATAAATTACATTTTAAAATACATTTAAATTCAAATAACATTTTACATTATTACCGTTTTATTGTATTTTTGATCAAATAAATGCACCCTTCTTCAAAAACGTAAAAAAAAAAATCTTATAGAGCCCAAACTTTTGAATTCTATTATTTATGTTTTCAAATGCATACATGTCCACAAGGTACTCAAATTATATTTTTTACTTTAATATGCCACATTTCTCCATGGTTTTATGGAAAATAATGTCAAATGCAACAAAATAATGAATTATGTTGAAGCTGGTTGTCAATAAAAAAAGAATCATTAAAATTATTAAGCATTATTATGTTATTTAGTTCATAACAGATCATTAAAACCACAACACTGCTTATCTGAAGCCTCACCTATGGATTTGTTATTTAATTTCCCAATCAAATTCCATTTACTATGTTTCTGTTGTGCTGACAAACTTTCCACCAAGAACTTTCTATTACAAATATGAAAAAGCCTTTTTGCAAAGAAAAAATGCAAATAATAAAAGTGAAGATAATGAGGTAATTCTTAAAACTTCCATACTTTCCGTCTTTGAAGTATGTTTTCAGAGTGTCACTGAAGCTTTTTGAGTGCTTCACAAACTCTTTCTTCTGATGCTCAAGTGCCTGGAAAACACAAAGCCATTTTAATTTCTTCCTTCAGTAAGTGAGGGATAGAGATGATGTTATACAGTATACAGAGTGTGTGTGTGTGTGTGTGTGTGTGTGTGTTAGGGTTGGGCCGATAGACGATGCCGTCGTCCATCGCCGATGGCTGATAGACTTCACAATGTTGCGCCGGCATCCCCCCCCCCCCCCCCCCCCACTTTGAATGCACGATCGCTTTTTAGTTTCACTATCACTTTCTAGATTCGCGATCGCACAAACTCTGTTTATACTATGGAGCGGCAGTACTTATAACACATTTTACAAGATTATATGTTTGTCAGTGGTACTAAGGATCTGCTAATCATTCGCCATCATCCTCAGTCATCTCTCCTTACACTGTGTCACCGGACGGGACAGTTGTCGTGTCGCGCCGCATCAGCTAAAGACTGTCTACACTGGACGCGACAAAGCGAAAAATCTTTTGAAATTTGTGTCAGCATGTCATAAATAGAACGCGGCAGCAGTTTACTGTCAGGGATTTGTCGTGTCACACCACACCGCAACCAGTGTAGACAGCATCACTGATTATAATGTGTTCTATTGACTGATCTATATATAATTCATCTCTATTATAGATCAGTGGTTCTATAGTATTTTGTCACGCCGCGCCACTCGCATCTGGTGTAGACACGGTGTTAGGAATCGTTAGTTGTTTTCCCTTATAAGGATTCACGTCATCGTCCATCTCGATGTTTCACTGTAGACATCGCCCAACCCTAGTGGGTGTGTGTGTGTGTGTGGGGTCACTTACCCTTCTGTTCTGGTACTGGTATTTCTTAAAGACGTTGTTCACTGTGTCCAGTAGTTCTTTTATGGCACTGGCTATATCTCTGTGAAAACCAATAAAAAAAAAAAATCTGAAATACTGTATGAATGTCTCAGACGTTTTATGCTTTTTATTAGCCATATTTATGACCTTGAGCAGGGAAAAGTAATAGTGGTGAATACACAAGATTTTACTGTTAATGTTAACTGTTACTGTTTTCACAAACAACTAGGGTTGTCAAAACTAGTCTGTACTGAAATTTTTTTAAATATGACGATGCCAGCATTTCCCACTAGCATTTTGAGCGCTGTTGAGAGGATTCTTAAACACCTCTGATTGGCCATTGTGCTCACACGCTCAAAAGATATGTCTGTGATTGGCTACAATGATCATCATTCTTCACCGAGCGCTTACACGGATACACACGAGAGCCACATCTATCAGCGGATCCGTCAATGAGCAGATATATTAGGGATCCGCTGATATACTACATACAACTGTCAAAATTATAAAGATTTTAAAACTGTCAAAAATTACTGAGTGAAATTTCACCCCAAAAAGTTAAGAAAGAAGGGAAAAGAAATCAAAATCCTATTGCTCTTTAAAAAAAAAAAAAAAAGGCTTATTTTACTATTTTTTTATTTTGGATTTGGGGTGAAAAATTAACTAGATGTCAAGTATTGACTTCAATTATTAAAGAAACTGTCAGGGCACGTGCACATGTCAAAACTGATGTAATGAAAGGCAAACCATGACGCAAAGGGGAAAAATAAAGGTAAGTGAAATTTTTTGTGGGCATAAAAACGCTCTCACTTGATTGTCTGCAGGAAACGGACTCGGTCGTTGATTTCGTCAGGGATTTTGCTGAGGATCTGTTTCAGAGCGCGAGCTCTTTCATTCAGGTCCTGGAACTCCCGCTCAGGCCTGTCAATCATGTACTCTGCACACAAAGAACACGCCACACAGGAAACACTCAACAACAGATGACTTGCCTCTAATAGCCTGCCATTAACATGCTATGCACTTAAAGACATAATGGAACTTTTAACTACTTTTAATGGCCAACCATGATTGACAACCATCAGAGAAACCGTAATGCGTTCCCCTGAACAAAAGTGAAGAAACTTCTATATAATCCTGTAAAGTACGGTAACACAGTCAGGCACCTCACAAACACAGTGTATACAAGGATAGATTACAGAAGGAAGATCAAATCGAGGATTTTCTTATGGGCTTGGATTCAATTTGGAAGTCCATTTATTATTCTTTACATTTCAAATCAACACAAATGAGCATTATCCGGAAACCCGGTGCGTGGCTGCGCATTCATTAGCAGTATAAATCTGAACATGTCAAAAACACTTGCAAAAAGCACAAAATTTAATTATGAGGGAAAATACATTCCAGTCATTACCGGGGGTTTAATTCATGAGGAACCAGCTCCCCCTAGAGGCACGAGGCCACAACGTTAACAACACTTTGCATAGCAAACCAGACTGTTCCTTTCCTCTTCGAAAACGTGGAAAATCATACACACCCTCAACATCGTCGGCAGCCATGCGTAATAAAGACTCGGTGAAGTTGATCTCCACGTTCTTCTTCTCCAGAATTTTCATGATAATATCCTGAGTCAGTCCCGGGTTCTCCTTCTCTGCCTGACATGAACAAACCCAGAGCACAAGTCAGTCCAACACAACCACAGGTGTGCTGAATTATGAAGAGGAAAACAATCAAAACTTTTCATATCTTCAAACTTTAGAGATCGCTTCATTTTATTAAATATTGACTTTTAATCAATATTCTATGTATATTACTACTATTAGGAAAAGAAAAAAGGATAATGTCAAAGTGCTTTCATGATTTGTCTTCTAACGTTATGATTTATATGACTGTTACACAACAATATTACAAATCCATGAATGGAAATGGGGCTGCTGAGACAGCAAAAGCAGCCCGCGCTAGAAAAACTATGATTTTCTTGCTGAAATCTCATGGTAAGTGAGATATTTCAGGAAAGACGAAGAAAAAAAACCCAGAAGACTCCTAATCAAAACTGAAACTGCACTTTTGTAGCATTCTTTTCCTCTCCTGGTTTGAAATTAACACCCGCCAACCCGCCAAATGCGGGTAAAAATCAGCTGTGGCGGGTAACGCTGTCAAATCACTAGCCAATTTGGCGGGTTACTTTTCTTAAGTTATGTTCACTCATTCATTTCTTTGGGAAGTTCATGCAAGCCAAATCTGCGCAGGTTTAGCACAAATACTGAACTTGTGATACATCATGAGATTATCGTGTATATTGCAAAAACCAAACAAAACACACCAAAGTTACAAAGTGCACGCATGCGCGACGTGATGTAGTCCGGTGATCTGTAATCTGTGCGCTTCCAAACACAGCGCTGTTTTGCGTCTCTGAGCAAAATCAACAGTTTAAATGATTTGGTTAATTCGCAATGACTCACTTAACAGTGACTTGCTGCCATCTACAGGCGGATTTAATTTCACATTTAAAGTATCTTTTAATTTTTTTAATAATTTAAATATCACTATTCAACATTTCATGTTTAAAATATCAAAACATTATTTATGCATTTGTAACTGCAGGTTAAAGCATCCCATGTCCCTCTAAGCTGCATTAACAAGTGTAAATACATCTAAATGCCACTTCATATTCAACTTCTGCAAAGATGAATTTTATTGATACTGATTTCATTTGTTTAGTATCAGCCTAAATGTACAATTGTTATAATTGCCTGATTAAACGTAAGAATTTGACTCAAAAGTTGATGCACACTTTTAGTAAAAATGGATTTATAAAGGTAAAAACGCCCATAAAAGGTAAAAATCAATCTAAACTTATTGGAAAAGCTTAATATCTAGCACTGCTGTGAACTGACCACACAGAATATAAAGAATATCAAAAACTTTAGGAGTCAGCTGTCCACGGTATCCTTAAGTTATCAGCACAATAACACACTCAGCTAAATATTGTCTAAATATCTTTATCAATAAAATCCCAGAAAATATTGAGATTTTTTTTTTTGTCAATATCGCACACCCTTAGTACCGACACAAAATGATTTGCAACAGTCGCTTTGTCATGTAGACAGCCTCAAGCTGTTGGTTTATTTCTGGGGTTTTTTGGCCGGTAAAAGTTATGAATGGCCGGTAACTTAATTTAGTAGCCAAATTGGCTGGTGAGTAAAAAAGTTAATTTCAATCCCTGCCTGTGATCCATTTATAATGTTAATCAAGGTTTTCACGGTGAACCAAAAACTGTTACTCCTGACTAACTTTCTCTGGTCTTTATAATAAAATTTTGTTACAGTGTGTTTAAAATGTTATCTTTATATGCAAATGGCCTCTGCTATGATCAGGTGCATCGGAATAGGCAAAGTTGCTGACTATGACATGTAAAATTGGCTGTAATATGCAAATGCTTTGAAAATATGTCAATAAAATGACAATTTCCAAATGACCCTCCTTTTGCGGTTTAGATTCCACCTTTAGAACTCTTCTTCCAAGAGATCAAGGAAAATAGAAACTACTGCCTAAATAGCTATTTGACCTCTGACTAACAGAAAAGGAATATCAGCAGAAAAGGAAAGTCGTTTTAGAGGTGGAGCAGTTACTACAGTATGAAAAAAGATTATACATATTCTTTCTCTGGAATAACAAGCACTGATGAATCCAGGAACAAGTAAATGGGATCCATTTTGATTTCTACTTGATGTAGATGAAATTATTTTGATTTTCTGACACATTAAAAAAAATAGAAATCAAGCTGAAGAAACGATACTGACTGAATCACGTCATGTTTACTCACCTTTATGAAAGCTGCTCTCAGAGTCTGTGCCGCAGACAGATTTACTCTCTCCAGCTGTAAGACACAAAAGCCATTTTAATTTACTGCAAGATGAAGCGGGCTGTTTGCTTTTAGTGTTGCACACATTACACACAGTCATTATCACCACATTAAAATGGAAATATAGTTGGTTGTAGGTGAAGATTATGCTTTTGGATTCAACAAAAATTAATCCACAGAAAAATATGTAGGCTGTGTGATAACTCTGCTCATACGTATGAAGATGAAATGTTACAATGATTTCTATTTTAAAATAAAATGTTTCTTGTTAGAATGATTTCTGAAGGATCATGTGACACTGAAGACTGGAGTAATGCTGCTGAAAATTCAGCTTTACATCACAAGAATAAATGACATTTGAAAATATATTACAACGGAAAATGGTTATTTCAAATTGTAATAATATTTCTCAATATTACTGTTTTTACTGCATTTTTAATCAAATAAATGCAACCTTGGTGAGCATAAAAGACTTCTTGAAAAAAACATAAAAAGAAAACTTACCAACTCTACATTTTTGAACGGTTGTGTAACAATCTAGTGCATATCTTAGAATTTGGACACAAAAAAAAAAAAAACTATACAGTATAAACCTAAAAGTGATACTACAAAATGTTACTAAAGTTACAAACAAAGCAGCTAAATACATTGAAATACATTAATTTTGTAGGCCTAACTATCTCAGTCAGTTGAATTTTATTATACATTTACACTCATTACAATAAAGATTAAACAGCATATTTTATATTAACAAACAGTGAAAAACAGCTGTGTGTAATATTTAATATTTAACTTAAAACAATTATTTAGCTACAAAAAAATGACAAAATGTCACACAGGAGCATTGCAGAACACTACTTAGAATATTTTTTAACCTCTCAATAAATTAAAAGAACCGTACCAATGAAACTAACTGCTAAATTAAATGCTGATTATATATATATATATATATATTTTTATGTATAGGCTATATATATATATATATATATATATATATAAAATGCCCCCCCCCCCCCATTTTTACAAGGCCAAGCTAGCTTCAAGTTCCTTCTTTTAGTTTTTTACTTTCCAATGCTGATACAATCCTCATATCATTGTGAAGCTAAATGATAACTTCAGTTATCCTATTATCGTTCAGTCTGTTAAAAAAATGCTAAAACCACCAGAACTAGTCTTCTCAGTATAACAACCGAGACCAGTGCGACAGTGTGTGTAGTCCTTCCTGAGCATATGGGTGTGAATCATTTGCATCTGAACTTCAGTTTGTGTCAACACAACCATTACTGAACTCTTCTACCGGGGACTGACCCCCCGTACCTCATTGAAGACAGGGTACATCACGGCGTAGAGCGTCATGGATACCATCGAGGTCGCGTCTGCTTCATTCTTCATCTCTTCCATTGTCATCCTCGTCAGGGCGCGGGAAGGGATGGGGGGAGCGTCATTCACTCCTGGGGGCTCGCGATGAGGGAGGCCCAGACAATCGCTGAAAGAAAACCCAATGAGGAAGAGATTATAAAAGGGTAGCGGGATTTCATTTCACAGGTAAGGAAATGACATTTTCAACCTGCGTTCAAAAGGTAGACGTGATAGCCATGGGACAGCGCCAAGTTTTCGGTGAGATTTAGACTAAACTAGACTTCAAGACTAAAGGAATGAGACACGTGGCCAGTGCAAGAAAAATAAAGGCTGTTTCCGAGACGGTGAGCCCATGCCTTATAGTTCGATTTTAAATTAGCTTTATCGAGTTGTACGGACCAAAGACAATAATGATTGTAAGGAAAATCTTAAGTAGACATAACTAAATATAAAAACAGCAAATAAAAGCCCATTCACACACAGAACGGTAGGGCTGGGACAATAAATCAATGCAACGCGAATGAAGAAATTATTCTGCATCGATTCTGAGATTTTCCGAAGGCATCGCGATTCTCTCTTGAATCGATTCTGAGCTTAGTTTTTAACAGCAGATGGCACTGCGTACTTTAGAAATAGCCGAATTCTGCTTGCTTCCAGTTCCTTACACACGCACCATTTAAATAATCTTTCATAAAGTTTGAAGTTGGCTGTGTTTACATTAATCTCGCATCATAAAAGCCGATGTGCAAGTACATTTAACCACTTACATTACTCAGCCAAATGCACAAGCGCTCTTCTTTGTGAGCATTTGAATGTGCGGTTAAAAACTAGCCTAGAGTGCCATCTGCTGTTGAAAACTAAGCTCAGAATCGATTTGAGAGTGAATCATGATGCATTCCGAAAATCTCAGAATCGTTCCACGAATCGTGATGCATCGATTTATTGTCCCAGCTAGTGTTGTCAAAAGACCCAGTACTTCGGTACCAAGTCGGTACTAAAAAAATGAAAACGTTACGGTACCAGAAGGGGTCATATGATGCGATTGTCTAAACAAATAGCACGTGCTGTCAGTGATTTCAACCACTAGAGGCCGCTCTCGCACTGTGTAATGACAGCAGACCCTTCTCAGCCGCTCCAGCAATGGACGCAACCCGGAAAACTATCGGCATGGATTTTTGTCGATAACCGATAGTTCCAGCAATCAACTATCGGTGCCGATTAATCGGCAAAACCCATACATCGGTCGACCTCTAGTTTTTAATATTCATCAGCTGGGGAAAAAAAATCAGTTTTTTTAAAAAGCCTTCCGACAATATTGTTCCTAAATTTGATTATCATTACAGCTGAAGTATAGATTTCCCAGTTCGCATAGGACTAGAACTGGGGCTGCTCGGTTATGGCAAAAATCATAATAACGATTATTTTGGTCAATATTGTAATCACGATTATTTAACACGATTATGAGTGGGCTATATGACCAAAACTTGATATGAGTGATTTATATAAGGATAGTGATATATAATAAATATATATTTTCTGTAAATAAGGTTGCTATGACACCTACATTTTAGAGACCAGAGAAATTTCACAATTCTCAATACCACAGCAGAGTATTAGGGTAACTGATATTAGTAACAAACAAACAGAAAAGTCCTCAAAATTAATGGAAATTAATTAAACTGTCAGTAATAAAAAAGCAAAGAACAAATGCAATAGAATAAAAAAATACAAATGAAACAAACTGTGCTTTAAGGTTTTTTTATGCAAGTCTTAAGTATTCAGTTAACAGAAATGAATAACCAAACGTAAAATAAAACGGCATAGTCTGGGTAAGAATGAAACTTTCTTTGTTTCTTATTAAAGCTTCAAAAGTCCTTCACTCAAGAGCAGTGTGTGATTTTGAATTTGTCAATTTACACACATATTTTCATTCTCAACTGTTTATGTTCATTTTGTATTACATGACCGACGAAGGTTTACATGAATAATCACTAAGCCGCATTGACATTTTTCATCGCAAGTTCTCTTTTGCACTTTTAAAAACATGAATAAATTTAATACACTTAAACAAATCAAGCACATCCCACTTTGCAAAAGTCACGTTACATGATTATACTGATTTGCATGTGAAATTGGGCTTTTATGGAGGAGCGAAAGCGGGCCGCTGGAAAGGGGGCGGAATGGGGCGCAATAATTGTTTTATTTAGATTATTGTATTTTCATAATTGTTGGAGGCCGAAATCGAAACCATTTTTCGATTAATTGCACAGCCCTAACTAGAACGATTATGAATCTTTATAGTTACAGTTATCTTTATAGCTTTGGTGTGAGCAGGCCTTAAGTCACCTTATTTCTTCTCAACATCCACAACAACATGCCACAGTGTTTATTCCTTCACCCAACACGTGTGAAACAATAGCGCTTGTTGTTATCTGCAGAAGGTCACAGTTCCTCTCAAGCTACAAGGAACATTACAAACCACTGAAAGTGAGGCACGCTTATCTCAATGCTGTCGATTCAGACTAATGGACAGGAGGCCGTGAGTCATTCCCACCTGATCGGAAGGCCTTCGGCCCCGTGGTGGGAGGCGGCCTTATCTGGGTGACATTCACAGGGATCTCCGTGACGTCGTCACATAGAGCAGGACTATGGTTGGAAATACCAGCACTCCTCTTATAAAACACGGTTGCCAGGTTACATATGCATTATAATGACTCACCTTTTTCCTCCTGACAAAGGCCAACCAACACCTGATTCCTGTAGTGTCTCTAGTCAGAGTCTGACCCTGGCACTGAAACGGGTAACACCCTAACGCAGGTGAATCTTGAATTAAATCCACCTATACTACATTTTTACCTTATAAATACATGAGAGATTAATTAAGCTAGAGAAAGTGAGTCAACATATTCACTGTCAAGTAAGGAAAAATTCTGCCACTTAATAAACCACAGCATTATGAAATTAAGCAGCTATGCATGACTATTAAGCCCCGTTCACACTACAAGCGACACGCAACGGCAAAGCGACACAATCCCATTCATTTCAATGGAGAGCTGGCGATTTCCGGCGACATGAGCGATAGCGGCCATTGGTGACGGGAACGGGGCGTGTCCAGCGATGCAACAAAGTTCAGAATCCTTCAACTTTATGCAAATGAACAGCGACTTTCGGGAGCGACAGCCAATAGGAAAGACGACAGTAGAGTTCATGTGATCATTCTCCTCTCACGCCATAGATAAACATGCGCAATGGAAGAAAGTAGGCTCTGTTTTTCATTCATTTTTGTTTGTATGTACGGATTTAGATTATATTTAGTCTTTTGCCTCCAAAATGTTTGTACTTAGCGTCAAGAAACCTGATTCGCTGTCAAGGCAACCAGTATTGAGAACGCCCACTAGACAAAAGTCGCTGCTAGTGTGAATGGGGATTTAGGGTTGGGTACCGTTCACATTTTAACCGGTACGGTACCTGAATTTCGGTGCCGGTACCCAACGGTATCTTTTTTCGGTACTTTACTCTCTGTGTAATTACAAAAACATTTATTTCAGTGAAAAAATAAGTCCAAAAGTCTCAATTTCAACATTTTGAACAATAGGGCCCTACAAACTTTTTCTTTCTTTCTTTTTCTTTTTTTTCCCCCACAGAAATTCTTGTTTTAATTTTTCTGAAAATCAAATGAAAATTAAACCCTTTTATTTTTTGGCAAACAAACTGAAGTTTACTGTTGAAATTAATACATTGAAGAAAAATTGTGTGAATATTCCTTTAAACCATTTTTAATAGGCTAATAATTGTATAATTTTTTTCTACAATTAAGTGATTAATCTGGTTGTAATATTTATTTTTATCATTTAATTGTTCTATTTAAATTTAATAGAAAATTTTATATTTAAAGATGTACAATATACTGTACAAAAGTAATACAGTATATTGTATTACAGTATGTTAAACCGTACTTTTATTTTGACAGGTTGCCATGAAGTTTCTGTGTGTATACAGTATGATGATGCTAGTTTTCTCAAATGAAACGGTAAAATTACATGTGATGGCGCCGCAGACGGCAGCCTCAGTGTTTGTACTGTTTTTGTTCGTTTTTCCTGTTTTTTGTTTCTCAAACACGATCAGTTTTACCAGGGATGAGCTGCTGAACATTCGGCAGAACACACCACACAATCTTCTACCGGATTTCGTTTATTCTGACGTTTTGCTGAACGTTGTAGTCGGCGGAGCTGCTGTGCTGATCAAGCGCTTCAGGACAGGGGAAGAGAGCCGGCACGCTCGTGAAGCTCAGGAACCGCGGATTCAGAACGCCGTTGCCGAGCATCCATATGGCGAATCTCCGCTCTCTACCCAACAAAACGGACAAACTTCTTCTGCTCTCCCGGACAAATAAGGATTTTTCACACTCTGCTGCTCTGTGTTTCACGGAAACCTGGCTGAATGATGCCATTCCGGACAGCGCGTTGAGTCTCCCGGGCTTTCAGCTGTTTAGAGCAGATCGCGACGCAGAATCAACGGGGAAATCACGCGGCGGCGGGACATGTTTTTACATCAACGAAAAGTGGTGTACAGATGTTACAGCGTTAAAGAAGATGTGCTGTTTTCTGATCTAGAAGCGCTTTTCATTAACTGTAAGCCGTTCTATTCACCGCGGGAGTTTCACTCGTTCATTCTCGTGAGTATTTACATCCCTCCGCAAGCACACGTGAGC